CCTACTCGGAGAAATGGAGACTTGCATTTATCCTCGGTAATTAGAGATGATTGTATGAGTATTTGTCGTTCTCTATTAAAGAATGGTTATTCTAACTTTTCTCTTGAAATTTTAGAATATTGTAAATCAGAATATCTTATTAAGAGAGAGAAGGATTATATAGATTTATTATTACCAAAATACAATATCATAAAGGACCCAACAATTCCTCCATTTTTAAACCGTACACATTCTGAAGAGTCTCGAAAAAAAATGTCGGATGCTAAACAAGGAGAAAATCATCCTAGATATGGTAAGTCAAAAGCCGAAGGAGCTGGAAAGTCTTCTCAAAAAATAAAAGTAATAGATACTATAAATAATACTACTGTTTATTATAATTCAATGAGTGAAACAGCTAAAGCCTTAAATATTAGTAGTCACAAAATAATTTCTCAATATATTAGCTATAAACAACAAACTCCTTACAAAAATCGCTATATTTTCATAAAAATAGATTAATGAAAGGTAGGGAGCTGTAATTCACTGATTCATAAATAGCAAGAAAACCCCAAATTACAATGTCAACTAGGATTATCAGGTTCTATGCATCGTGTGGAAACCAATTCCTTTGTTAAAGTCAAGCTTGTTATGGATTATCTAAGTGTCTATAAATTAAAAACTAAAAAGAAAACATCTTATGATAAATGAGTTTCAGCTTATGGATTAGTGTGTAATAAAGCACACTTAACAGAGGAAGGACTTTCTGAGATTCGAAAAATTAAGAAGGAAATTAACCTTCTTAATAGTATTACAGGTAAAACAGGGGATAAGCTTGCTTAAAAGATAAAGATATAGTCCACTAGGTTTTATAAACAAATATCTAAAATAATTAATTGTTTAACTCAATTTCCAATAAAAACCAAAAAAACATTTGGCTTAAGGTATGGGAAGAGCAAATACAAAGAATTATTAATCGATGTTTGTATAATAACTTAAGCATCACATGTTTTCAGTAGGTTTAGATGAATTGCTTTTTTTATTCTTTATATCAAAAAATAATCATATGACAAAATGATGTCCAAAAATGGGGCTATTAAGGGTAGCTACTTTTACTTCTGAAGGAACAACTGAAAATATTAATTACATTAAGCAAATTTTATTTAGTTCTATTTTAGGTGATGGAAAACTAGAACTACCTCCTCGAGGTATTAACGCTAGGTTTGGTTTTACGCAAGCTGAAGCTCAAAAAGACTACTTTATTTCTGTGTGTAATTCTTTATCTACAATAAGCTCTGCTAAATACAGGGAGTACGCTTATCTAGATAAAAGGACAGGTAAAACTTATAAATCACTGAATTTTTGGACTAAATCTTCACCTATGTTAACAGAATTTTATAATATTTTCTATTCTAACAAAGTAAAAATAGTACCTAGTGATTTATCCTTATTAACCCCACTCGCACTTGCTCATTTCATAGCTCAAAAGGGGGTCAAAAGGAATAATTCCTTATATCTTTGTACAGATGGTTTTAATTATGCTGATGTTAAACGTCTAACTCAATATTTAATTGATAGATATAATATAAGATGTACAGTTCATAAAAAAGCTAGAGGTAATTTTCGTATTTATATTTTAGCTAAGTCTGTACAAACAGTTGAAAATATTATTTCGCCCTACAAGTTAAAAACAATTTCTGAATGTAAACTTGATAATAATTTATCGCTTAAACTTTCTTTATTATTTAATACTAAACGTATTGAAGTTAAATTGTTAAACAGTAGTCTTAGTCAACGTAAATTTTATAGTACTAAAAATAATCCTAATTCTTTTGATTCAGTTTTAAAATATGATAATGCAGATCTTTTAAAAATAGAAATTGTAAAAGAAAACAAGGGAAAATCTGGGGTATATCTTTTTAAAAATAAAATTAACGGTAACTATTACATAGGAAGTAGTGTTGATTTAGGAAGAAGATTTAAGAATTATTTTAGTTTTAATTATATTACGAATCCTAAGATTAATATGCTTATTAATAAAGCTTTAATTAAGTATGGTTATTCAAATTTTAGCCTAGAGATTCTAGAATATTGTAAACCAAGTTTAGCAATATCTAGAGAACAATATTATATAGATCTATTAAAACCTAAATATAATATATATAAAGTTGCAGGTTCTAGTTTGGGTTATAAACATAGCGAAGAAAGTCGTTTAAGAATGGGAGGTATAAGATCGCCTAAACATTTAGACAAAATTTTAAGTAATTTGAAAAAAATCAATAGCGAAGGGTTTTCTCCTGAAGTTAGGGATAGAATTACTAAAGGGTCAGTAGACTTTAACATTAAAACTAAAGGAAAAAAAGTTATATTTACTAACATAGAAACAGAAGAAGTTTTAACTTTTGTTTCTATGAGGGATGCTGCTTTAAAAATGAATATAAGTAGAAATACAATTAATAAACATATTTTAAGCAAAAAGCCTTGAGGTAAATATATAATCTCTTTTTTAATTTAGTAGTATATTAGATTATTTTTCATAATTTATATTAAGAATCATCATGTAGGATGGATCTCGTGGAACTTCTCGAGGTTTATACATATGCACCGACAGTTTTACACTTCAAGATGTTCAACGTCTTTCAAGATATTTAATTAATACATATAATATTAGATGTTCAGTACATAAAGCCGGCAATAATCATCGAATTTATATATTAGCTAAATCTGTCCCAATTGTAAGAGATCTTGTATTAGTCTACATGCATGAGTCAATGTTATATAAATTAGGTATCTAGCAAAACATTGGCGTCGCTCATATTGGTAACATTATGAATTATTATTTTTCTATATGCAAGAAACTATTTAAAAACTAGTATACGATGCATTTTTTTAAGGAGTAGGCTCCGCCTTAAGAAGCATGCACGTAAAAATTACTAATATTATAGAACTTGCAGGTAACGTAAAGGAACCGCAGAGAGTACAAGAGAAATCCCTTAAGTTTATTTACTTATTATTATAAAATAATCTATGGGGGTTAAGACATAGTCCGTAGTGATAGTTATTATTATAAATTTTCATTAGGTCGATACTAGAGCATATTTCACTGCTGCAACATTGATCATTGCCGTAAAGTTGGGTGCGGCATGTCCTTCCGGGGATGTGAAAAACTCACTATATGCTGGAAACTCCTAGATTTATATAAATTATAAATGGCTTTCTTCGCATGTTTTGCACCGCCCCTCTAAGAGTGGCGCGCACAGTGCGTTGCATCGCTCTTAATGCTGGGGTTAATTTTCAGATTACTCAGTAAAAACTTAAGAGATTGGGTAATCAGCAGGAAACCAAAAATACAAAATATTTCTTTAAAGTCTATTTGTATTGAGTAGGATCCTCAGAGACTACACGTGAGTGGACTTTAACTAGTCTATGATATAGTTCACAACTACCATTATAAGTTAGACCTATTATTTTTTTTAGCCGAGTACGTAGTTTCTCTACTGGGATCATTACCGACCCTGTAAGTTCGCATAATAATGCCCTTGATGGATTTAAGATTGATCCTAATTGGGTTACTGGTTTTTGTGACCGTTCCGCTTGTTTCAGTATCAATGTAGCACTTCGAGCTACAGGTCGCTGGGATATTTCTGCGGAATTTAGAATCCTAGCTAATGTCCGTCATAAAAAGGTTCTTCAATTAATAAAAGGTTATTTTGGAGTAGGTACTATTTTTCATAGTGGTAAAAATGTTGGATATCGAGTAGGTTCTGTTAAGGATCTTATATCTGTAATAATTCCACATTTTATAAAATATCCTCTCTTGAGTACTAAAGCCTGTACATTTAGTTTATGACATGAGGCTATTAATATTATGCATTCTGGTTCACATAAAACACATGCTGGTTTTTTAAATATTTTAGCTATCTATGCTGGCATTAACAGGGGTGCTTCAAAAGCGGTTAAGACTCATTTTCCTGATTTAAAACCTGCATTATTGCCTACTTACTCATTAACTATTTTACCAGAGGAATTATCTCCATGATGAATTTCAGGTTACTTTACTATATATTGTAACTTTGGAGTTGATATGAATCCTCATGGTCTTAAAAATTCTTATTATGATCGGGTTGTTCCTAGTTTTAATTTTTCACGAAGCATAATTGAACTACCTATTATAACTCTGCTAGCTTCATATTTTGAAGTAACGTATAATCTGCGTTCCGACGGCCTACGTGCCGATGTTAATATTTATGGATTTAAACGTGCTATTGAGATTGTTTACTTATTTGATTCTTACCCTCTGCTATCTTGTAAACAAGATGAATTTAAGGTTTGAGGCAAGATTGTTCATGATATAGAGAGCTTACAATATAGAAGCTCAAATTTATCTCTTAGTCGTTATATGAAACATTTTCTAGATTTAGGTCTTGAATTGGATACAATTCGAAAACGTAATAATTCGTAGATTTGGCCTACAGGTATTAAAATATTTAGTTGGTTGTCGAAGTTCTTTAGTAAGACTTATATGACCAAAGTTAATATAAATAAATCTTCAACTAAAGCTTTAGTGCCTTATGGTACTAACCTAGGATCAACTTTAGGTTCACCTAGATTTACAAAATTAGAAAGAATGGCAATTAAAATACCTAAAAATTTATTGTCTGTATTTGTAGGAATTATTATTTCAGATGCTAATCTAAGTAAATCTAATAAAGGTGATGCTAGATTACAATTTAAACAAACTATTAAACATATTGACTATTTCTACTTTGTTTTTTTTAAATTAAGTCATTATTGTTCTAAAGGTCCTTATACTACTAGAACAAATGTACATAAAAAAGAACACATAGGGTTAGGTTTTACAACAAGAAGTTTACCTTGTATAACTGAATTATATAATATTTTTTATGTTAATAATAAAAAAATAGTACCTAATGTTTTATTTGATTTAATGACATGAGAAGTTTTAGCTCACTGAATCATGGGAGATGGTACTTATAATTCAGGAGTTAGAATTCAAACAGATAGTTTCACTGTTCAAGAAGTAGTTTTTATTATTAATATTTTAATTATCAAATTTAATCTAGATTGTTCATTGCATTATCAAAGAGGTAAGCCAATTTTTTATATAAAAAGTAAATCTATAAAGAAAAATTTACATAATCTTTTACCCTATATGCATGAATCTATGAAATATAAAGTTTTAGGTAAAAAATAGAAGTTTATTTTTATTAATATATGGCAAATTCGAGGGACATCCTATAATAAGAATAGTAATTATTAAGGATTATCGTCGAGCTAAATGATTACGCTAAAGCGTAATTCAATAAATAAAAAGTTTATTGAGTATAATAAAGTAATTTATTATATATAAAAGTGTAGAGGCCAGATGCCATACTATTTCTAAGTAATAAGGGTAATATTATATGAAATATGAAGGAATGGTCCGGGTAACTAGTAATAGACAGTGCCTTAAACAAGCATTTAAATAAAAATAAACTTAGTAGTCACTGTTTTTATGATACATAAAGCCAACTAAATTTGAAATGATTGAAGGCCTTACCCTGAGCTACATGTTATGGTGGTTCATTACAATTTACAACACCTATGCTATTTGCACTAGGATTTATATTTATGTTTACTATTGGAGGGTTAAATCTCCACTTAGCTCTCCCTAAGGCCCTTAAAGGCTACTAAAGGTTACTGTATGCTGGAAACCTCTAATAACTAAGATACTGTAGTTATATAAGTAACAAAGCTTAGTTTTGAGCAATCAGCAGGAAACCAAGTATTGAGTAGGATCCTCAGAGACTATGCGTACCGTCATTAGGTTTTCTAAAACCGTGTCAAAATATAGTCCAAAATTAATAAGAATTAACTTATTAATTTTGTTTTTGTGTGTGATTACACCATTGAATCTTTAGATTCTTTTAATATGTCAACTTCTTGGTTTTTAACTAAAGCAATAGAACAAATAAAACCTGTCAAAGTATACAATAACTTTAAGGGAGATAGACTACAGTTACTAAAAGATCAAAAAGATAAGGTTGGTGTTTATTATTTAGTCAATTTAATAAATGGCCATAGCTATATTGGTAGTTCTATGAATCTTGCAGGGAGAATGCGTAATTATTTAAATAATACTTTTTTAAAACATAAAAAAAATTGTAATATCCCTATTGTAGAAGCATTGTTAAAATATGGACAAGATAACTTTGCTGTTTTAATTATAGAATATGTAGATGTTAAAGAATTAACTATACGAGAAACGTATTTTTTGCGAAAATTATTACCTTATTATAATGTTTTAAAACAAGGTTATTCATCAATAGGTTATAAACATACAGAAGCTACTAAACAAATGCTTTCTGAATTAGCTAAAAATAGGATACATTCTGATCAAACAAAAGCTTTAATATCAAGAGCTTTAACTGGTGAAAATAATCCTTTTTACAATAAAACTCATTCTGTAGAAACTAAATTAAGAATGATCGAAGCTAATTCGGCATATCCTGTTTATATTTATAATTCATATAGAGAACTACTAGTAGTTTTTCCTTCGGTTACAACTTTAGCTAAGTTAATTAATTCTAATCATTCTACAATAGTAAGTTATATAAAAAATAAAGTATTATTTAGAGGTGAATGGTATTTTGCTAATTTACCTTTTAATTTATCTGATACACCATTAATCTCTAATTGAACTTCAATTGAATCGCAGACTTTAGTCTGAGAAATTAAAAATAGTTCACATATTAAAAAGGCAATATTTGTATATAACACAAATAAAGAGTTTATATGTAAACTTGATGGTGTAACGCATGCTGAAAGAGAATTTAGTATTAGCCACGAAATAATAAAAAAATATGCATTATTAAATAAAGCATATGGAGGATATATTTTTAGTTACGAAAGATTGAAAGATTAATTTGTTTTTAGAAAATGGTAGATTTGTTTTTATCTAAACCAGTAAATATGATATCTAAACTAATATTAGTGGTTTAATTATTATTTTTTTGTGAGTGGAGTAATTTTAGCGAACGCGTCACTTGATATTGCATTCCATGATACTTACTACAGCAATAACAAATTTTCATTAATATTTGAATCTTTAAAACAGCCTTTAGCTTATATCATTGGTTTATTAACTTATTATCTTTTATTTATTCATTATTTTTATTTACTATTTTCTGATAATACAAAAGAAAATAACTTTTCAAATACTCTTATTAACATTAATAAGTTTTTAGATGAAAAAAGTGAAACAGATATAAAAAACTATATTGAACAATTCTTTGTTGGATTGCTAGAAGGGGATGGTACAATTACGGTTGATTTTATTAATAACTGTAAGAAACGTGTAAGAATATTCATTGCTCTGAAAAATTTAGAAGATAATAGATTTATGCTAAATCTAATTGTAAAATATATAGGTGGAAGAGTTGCTATTGAACGTAATAATAGATATGTAACATGGTATGCAACTAATAGAACAGATCTTGCTAAAATCTTCGCTATTCTTGCTAAATATTCTTTACTGTCTACTAGAAAACAGTGTCAATTAGATTTTGCTAAAGATTTCATTAATTCTAACCTAGATATATCTGAACTAGAGTTTAAAAAATTAAGAGATGAAAAATATAAAAACCAAAAAACAATGTTAGATCTTAATGATAAAAACTTTGTTATTCCTACATATTTTCCTGCTTGATTATCTGGGTTTATTGAAGCTGAAGGTCATTTTAAGTTAGTAAAAAAAGCTAACAATACTATTAAATCTTCTCAATTTATTATTGGACAAAATTATGAAAAATACCTTTTAAAAGCTATTCTAACCTATTTTAATCGGGAAAATAATAAAATAGGTTTCACATTGAATAAAGAAGGTGTTACTTATTATAAAATACATGTGGGAGGTAAAGATTTTCGTAGTTTATTGGATTCTCATTTTAACTCTTATCCTTTATTAGGAAATAAAAATAGTTTATATATAGAATGATTTAATAAACACTAGCCCCTCGCTCTCTTTTTACATGGGGCGTCTCCCTGATTGTTTTCCTAGTATAGGTAAATACGTTTAAAAGTGGGAAATTAGGGAGTTTACAATGATTTATACTTTTGGCTTTATTATATTTGTTTTTGAATAAAGGTGTCCTGCGGTCACACTTCAAAGATATTTTTATAATATCGGTTTCATTTCATTTGGGCGGAGGCAACGCCCAAAAATTTAAACCTGGGTTTTTCCAGGTATTGGGGCTAACGGTGAAGTTTTTTATACTGATTCTTGAATGGAATTGTAACGACGGGTATAGAAAATAATACCGTGTACGTAGATATGCATTTCTTGTGCATATCTATTATGTAGAGACTAGACGTTGTGTTTAATATTAATTTTTATTAATATTATTAAAGATATAGTCCATTCCCTAATAAGTTATTATTATAAATAGTAATATATTAAAAAGGGGTAAAAATCACCTATTACGTTGTAGCTCATTGGGGGGGGAGAATTATTTTCTAATTTATTAATACCTGTAGCAACACTTCCTGTTGGTGCTGTTGAGTATTCAAATGCCCTAGAATCAGAAGGTATTGTTAGAACTTCTTTAAGAGGACTATATTTGTGAACAAACAAAACGAATGGAAAACAATATATTGGTAGTTCTAAGGATTTATCTTCTAGATTGTCTAATTATTATAGTAACTCATACCTTAACAGTCAATCTAGTCGTGGTAGTGCTATCTCTGCAGCTATTATAAAATATGGATGGTCAGAGTTTAGTCTTCAAATTTTAGTGTTAGGTCCTTCCCAGCTCGTGAGAGTATTTTAATTAGTTCTGATTTTATTCAATTGGAGCAATATTATTTAGATAGATTTAATTTATGTTATAATATAAGACGAATAGCTCTGGGCCCTGCTCCAACTGCAAACCTTGACTATCATAAAGGTAATACTAATCCACAATTTGGTAAACAAGGGCCAGAGGGAGCTGCGTGAGACCATCAGCATTCTCTAGAACAAAAAGCATTATGGTCTTTAACTCGTAGCATTCCTATTTTTATTTATGACGCTTCTACTTTAACCCGGAGGGGTAGGGAAAAAAAACAGGGCAATTTTATAGTTAGAATAATTACTATAAGTAAATATATTCAGTTTTTGGGTTCACCTAGAAGCAGAGTTTTAAGTAAACCTACGGAAATGGGTTTCTTTTTGTTTTCTTTACGCCGGCCTACTCAAAGAGATTGTTATTCTTTACCTCCATTCTGGAATTAGGAAATAAGTAGGAGCAAATATTCATATAATAATTTATTACTAAAGAGTATGTTATCAGTTACGCCATGAGAATTTTTTATTTTAGATCTCGAATAATTTCGATTCGACATATTGTAACATTAAGCGATTGTCTTACTCATAAATCATTTGGTCTCTGGGCAATGATCAAATGAACAAATTGGTTTAATTGACTATAGAATACCT